CATTTGAATTTCCCGCCAACAGTTTTATTGCTGCCGAAGGCAGCACACTATTCTTAACATGAAGTATTGCGTTTACGTGTGCCCAGTCTCTTTGGCCGAGTTATGTATAGCCGAACGACAACTCGATTTTCAAGTGACGAATGTTTGTTTGGATGATCAGATTTATGACGTTTTTTGACGTCACAGATACAGTATTTAAAAAAATAACATACTCCAGATTGTGATTTGACTTTCCGAATACCCTGGTTGAGACTCACGAACACCAGCATGAACGATACAATTTGTAAACATGTGCCTCGTTGCCTGTTGTAAATTTATGTCTGGCTGTTTATCGAAATACTTTTCTTGCGTCTGGCTGTTTATCGAAAATATTTTTCAAGGTAGGATGAAAGTTTAATCACAAATAACAATGTGTTTTGGTCGAATTATTTTACCCATTGGAACGAAATTATTTTACCCATTGGAACGAATGAGGTGCCATACAAGTATACAACTCTTCATATATTAAAACAAGTGGAGTAAAAAATCTGTTTGAGAATTGAGATTGATAGAACATCGTACTTCAAGGTATAAATAATCACAGTGATAATTTATTACAATATTGATATTATGGAATATCAATTGAGCAGTATCGTGCCCGTATTGGAACACATAATTGCATACGAACGAAAAAATATCTGACTTGTAGAAAGATATTCCTATTGCAATCCAGTGTGGATTGTTTTCTGCACATGTTAATTTACCAGCAGTTACATGTAATAACATGTCAACTGTACAAATATATTTTTGAGATGTATGTCCATTGTTAATTGTTAGCATAATATATTCACCTGGCTGTGTGTGTCACTACAGACTGCAGTTCAGGGTATACTATATTTTTTATAATGTTCACAATTTTTTGTATTATATAGTTTTGCAGTTCTGACTGAGTACAATCTTAATCATTACAAATTAATGATGTCATCAACAATCTTAATCATTACAAATTAATGATGTCATCAGAAGCTGACATATGAAACAAAACTGTCAACAAACAGATTGGGTTGTTCCAGAAAAGATCCACACTCCCCCCGGAGGAATTTTCTGCCATCTGGAGGGGGAGGAGGGGACAAATTGTTTGTGATAATAGTAAATGTATTAGGATATCCGAAGGGGGTAGGGTGGTTCACCTCCAATTTCTTCCGTGGGGGTGGTATGGATGTTTTCTAGAATGACCATTTTGTCTCCCCCATCAGGCATCAGCAGATTGTTCAGTTGTTTTGCAATTTAGTGGTCAGGGTCATAGCAACAATAATTTGTAAACTAGCAATAATCACCCCAGACTAATCAGCCCCCAATACAAAATTGCTTCCTACGGTAGTGTGGGTAGCTTTGAACTTTGAAGGTAACCTGAGAACAGGCTCTATTTTACAAATATTCCCTGACACAAACCTTAATCCGATAGTTTTCCACCCATGTGCAACAAAGTTTATATTTATTATCCAATCAAAATGTCGCAGGAGAAATTTAAATTTCACACAAGGACAACAACAATCTAATTATAGTTGTGATCACTATGAACAACAATATAATATAATTAGCACCAACCAATCAAATGACAGATTAAAAAATTTACACCTGAAATATGATTGTAAGGCATGATCTTTTGTTAAGGTTTGTATCAGGCCTATTTATTTATTTATAGGCCTGATCGCAGATTACTTTGAATGTGCCATTAAGACGATAATTGGGTCAAAAACAGACTTAATATTTCTGCATATGAAATTGTTATTAAATTCTACATATCCAATGATTCATTCAAGTATTATTATTGTTTATATATAATATGATATTGTACAGTATTCAGTTGCAAGCTAACTACAATGGCAACTGGTCATGCCACACCTATAAACCTGGATCTATTTGAATAATGCAATTCATTAAAAACTTGTATACTGTAGCATGACCTTGACTTTTTCTGTGTTGGTGTAATGTACTCAGGTGAATATGATGCTTGCGATGTTACTCTGAGTGTATATCCACACCGGGCAAGCTTGAAAACTATGCCTGGCCACTGTGGGAATCGAACGTACGACCTAGCTTCACCACTGACTGTATTAGAATTAGAATATTTAGCTGACCTTTGACCTTGGTCAAGGTGTTTGGTATTCAAATTGCACTTTTCTTACCTCCTGAACATGTGTCTTAGGGGATGTTCACATGATGGAAGGTGGGATGACTTTTGATGTATTGAAATAAGTCACCATGCTTGTTAACAGCACTTGTAGAGAAGATCTTGTAGTTCAACAAGAAGATTATTAATTATTGCTGCTTGAACAACTTTTCGTTTACAGTTAACTATATAAATCTATCTCTAGAAAATAATGAAGATTTTTCCTGAATTGTGCACCGTGACTTATTTCAAAACATCGAAATCATACCGCCTCATATCTCGTCCTGACAAAGCGGGGTCATAAAAACAGCCCCTTTTTCAGCAAATTGCGCATGCTGCCTTTGATCCCTTGGGGATGAGGCAGCACTTTCCTTGCGATAGTAACTTCTAGTTACAATATTACATACAGAAATGAATTAAGCATTATCAAATGTTTGAGTAGAAGTTTTACTGTCAGTTTTATAGCCGAACTCTGCATTCATATCGATTATTGGCTATTGCCAATATTGGATATTTTCGAACGCACGGGGAGTATGTACCAAATGGTAAATACAATTTAACAATATATATTGAAATTTCTTAGTTTGTTTCACAAACAAGTATATATCAAATATGTTGCTAAATCACAATCGCTAAAATGTTTGTGTTGCGTGTTGAAATGTATAAGCCTTGCAGCGCTATTTATAGAACTACATTGTTTACTACATTGACCTCGACATTGACATTGTATTTCATATAGTATATAGCGTTCGATGCTTTATACGCCTATGCTCGGGTTGAAGTCTTGAATATTCAAGACAAAATACATGTAACAATAACTAAATACCAATAGGCAATAGCTTATTTAGCCTAAGCCTGACTGGCTAAGCCATTCTTTCTTTGAATACCACGACATTTGAAAACCTTCCCGATCGGGCATGTCGAAAGATCTGGCGTTTCTCTCTGCTTATAAACAATAATATTCTGCTCAGCAGAAAATGGTTTCTTCACCAATTCCCAAACAATATCGTTAGCTTCGAGTAAAGAAGAAGTCGACATGCTTGAATGACCTGAAAACGTGTTCATTCAGGCTGAAAGCTTCGAGCTAAGAGGCTGTGATCAGGTTGTGTTGCCCGTTTAGTCATGCAAATCGAAAATTGCATGACCAAGGCGTTAAAAACAGCCGCATTGCGCGTGCGCGAACGTCGTAAGCCAATCAGAAACCAACAAACCTAATATAAAATAATACAGCTAGTCATGAAATTCTGAAAGTGCATGACCAAAACACACAGCGAGCAAACCACGCAGCAATCACACGCAATCGTTTTCCACGCGCTTACGCAACCGGTCATGCATGTGAAAATATGCAGGACCGCTCAGTTGCCAAGGTAACAAAGCCAAAATCAATAACATACGAGAATATTTAGCAAGAATATCGTCTAAAGACCATTGATTTGGGTAAACAAAATAATAAATAAAATACTTAGGCGTAGAAGTGCAAAGATAAAGTATAATTCTATTGTAAACAATTATACTGAACTGATTTTTAAACATTTTTGGGGAAATTTTTAGTCATGCACTGCATGACCTGCATGACCGCTGGCTTCGCCACTGAACGTATCAACTGAAGTCTGTTTGAAAATAATGAAACTCAAGTAAAGGTTACTATAGTTTACCCCAGTCGTAATTTGCTATTCCAACACCTCACGACAAGCAATCCCCATTGGCATAACGGCAAAACATGTCTTCCTTCAAGTAAACAATAAACAGTCTGTTCTTGTTCCATTTGTAATCGAAAAAAGTGATCAATTTTCAAATTTTAAGCTTATCGAGAGCCTTTGTCTATGCCTTTGTGATGAATCACTGTTCCCTTGGGCCTGCACGCCAGGTTAATTAATTACCGATCGCCTCAGCTAGCCAATGGGAATTTAGCCGGCGGTTCGGCCGGCGAAAATCGAAAACATGGGGTGATGGTTGCAGGCCTACTATCAGTTCCCTTGGGCCTGCACGCAGGCTAGATGAGATAGAATAGAGCAGTAAACGGCCAATCGGCTTATTTTTTCCTGCTCTTTCAGATAAAGCAATAAAAAATTTTATTGCCATTATCCTTTAAACGAAATTAAGAACGCGCTAGAAGTTATGTAGTGGAAGAAGACGATTGATAACATTCGACAACATTTGTTTTTTGTCTAAAACATGGAATTTCATACAATTTGTTTTGTTATATCATGAACTGCGACTTATTTCAATTGCTCAAAATACGTCACACTTTATTGAATCCCGGGTAAGCGGGACCATAACAGGTGGGAAATTTGACGTCGCTGACCAAATAATCGCGGGCAGAAACAAAGCTCTATTGCATTTTACATTCAAAACAAAGCAGAAAGTTAGCAAGAAGCTGTTTTAGCTGACGAGTTTTTGCTTTCATTCAAACGATTCACAAATTAACGGTTATTCTTTTAAAAATCAAACATGAATTCCTTGTTTTGGGATGATTTGTTTTGTAATCGAGAGATTGGAAGAAGTGAATATGGCGACGTGAACATGGGAGTAAACAACCTCCGTCGCAGGGACTTTCCACCGCCTGGGAAAGACCCTGCTATCGGCTGGTCACGTGTCTCCCAGAATCTGGGAGATAACAATAAATTTTAATTAGGGTAGGGTGGCTGAGTAGTATTGTTAATATGTAAGGTTTATGCCTGAAAAGTTTTTGCAATCGAGGAGTGAGAAATACTAAAAATTTGAGTTAGACATGGCGGTCAAATATTAAACACGGAAATGAATACCGCGAAAAGTATTACAGTCCATTGCAAACCATATCAAATTACATATCAAGCCATGTGTTCAGTCTCAAAGCTCATTTACCTGAATGACTTCCAAGGAAACCCCGAAAAAAGCGTATCGAGCTTCAAATTCATGGATAGATTCGACTTCTTGTCGACTTTGCAGAGCTGTGGGCGACACAAGTCGCCGCAAGAATATATTCAAGCCTTCAAATCGAGCTTTACTCAAGATTGCCGAACAAATTTGCGGGCATCCCATTGTTTACGAGGTGGATTTGCCCCATCTCATATGTAGACCATGCGAGCGCAGGCTTAATAACACTGTGGATTTTCAAAAGGTAATTGTGGAAACCGAGCGGTCATTTCACCAAAGCGAGTCAAGTCAAACCCGGTTCAAACGCTGTGTCGATGTTTCGCCATCTATTTCCCAACCGCCAAGATCTCGCCAAGTTACATGTGCGGCGCCTTCAGCAAGAACTTCGTTGTCGTTCGATTCTTGTCAAGAATCCCGTGAGAATATAGAAGTGAGTACGCACGATTTGTCTGTTTATTAGGGACAATACTATATATATATATATATATATATATATATATATATATATATATATATATATATATATATATATATATATATATATATATATATATATATATATATATATATATAATTGTTATTTGTATTAAACCACCTGGCAAGTTTTAAATCGAACTGTTTATATTGTCTTGTTATGCATGCGAGTTCGCGCAAACAACGCTAAATTGTTGACGGAATAATTTGCATGCTCTTTTAAATATATGTAAATTTTATATATTACAGTCAAAATATTTACGTAGATATATACAGCTAAACGAATTAAACTTGTCCTCTACAAAGCTAAAAGGCCAAAACTATAAAATGGTCAAAGCCAAATGCAAAAGTTCGGTAGGAAAGACGTGTTTTGTGTAGCTGATGTAGTTGTGTCGAAATTTAATATCCGTTTTATAATACTGGTAAATTGAAATATATGGAGAACAATCAGCCAAGTCAAGCCAAAACTTTGAACAAAATCATACTTTTAGCGCTTGCCTTTGACCTTTCAGCTTTGGCATTTTAGCTTTGTCAAGGACAACCTTAATTCGATTCATTTAGCTGTATCAGAATACAACAGAAATTATGCAAAATTACCCCATATAAAAAGGACCCAAATTAATCAAAGGACCATTGCTTTTATTTTAAAATTGAACCTCAAATATAGACTTTTGTGTTTGTGTGTTAAACTATGTTGTCTTATATTTGTCATAGAATGTAAGTCCTTTACAAGATGACCAGAGTTTAAAACAGCAACTCAACATGCTGCTGAGAGAGGCCAATAAACAATTGGTGAATATTACCAGAAGAGATGAGCCATCTGTGTTGAGAGATGGAACTTATGGTGGTTTGTCCCAGGAGACTTGGATGGTCGAAATTGTAAATGAACTCTCAACTAGATGTCTCGCCATTGCAGAAATCCTATCAAGATTGCTTGATTGCTCCATGTTGGACCCTGGGAAGAAACTACCACCAATATGCTTGATTTATAGTATTATCATGTTCACACGATGTCATGAACTGAGCAGGGTACAAAGGATTAATACAGTAACTGTCCTTTTGACTGAAGGAAAAGCATCAAGTAATGTAAGTAACAGATTAACTGGTATAAAGTATAAAAGTGATACTTTTTTACGATTAAATATTGTTATTGGGCTATTCCAATTATTACTGCACCCCCTGTTGAGGAACCCCTTTCTCACGTCAGTACTCCACTGGAATTTCCGCAAATTTTCATATAAAATTTACACCTTCACATGGATTTTTCCTTGTAAATTTGAAAGATAATGCACCTCTCCCCTGGAAATTCGTATAGATAAATGCACCCTCTCCCCTGGAAATTCCAAGGTTCCTCAACAAGGGTGTGTGGATAATAATTGGAATAGCCCAATTTGCAATTGCCTGCGAACAGGCTCTCAAGCTGAATTGAGAGCCTGCATCGATGACTAATGAATTTAAATATCTACCCGTAACGTTCGTTTTCCAAATATGGAATGTCTATCCTTATATGGTGTTGTAAATAGACCGTGCAAACTAAATTTAGACCATACAGTTTATACTGTTTTTCGAAATATAAGATATTCAAGCAAAAGTTCAAATGTTTTAAAATACTGTTTTCTCAAAACAGAACATTTTGTGCTTTGAGATAAGACGGCCAAGACCAATTTGATCAGTTATTAATGTGTTTTTAATACATAGTGCTTCAGCAGTTGGCATATATAGAGCTCAGAGGAAACATATAAATTATAGCATCTGACCAAATGAGAATTTTGCGTCACAATTTGAGATGCAGATATTCAAATTCATTAGTCGTCGATTCAGGCTTGAGGTAAAAACTGTTTGGCAATAGAATAGATACCTGTTGCCAGATGGCACTTTATTATTTTCATGTTATCTAATGCCAGATTTCTTCACTTGCCTAGAAACTATATGGGTGAAGGGCTACATAATGTGAACAATGACATTTGCTTCAAGTTGGGAACCTCTATACTGTTGAGCAAGGGATGGGAGTGTCAGATTGGTGCCAGTATTATGCAAGGATCAAACAAAATATGTTATTGTGGAAAACTTAATTGATTTTGAAATATTTGTTTGACCCTTATTTTCCTCATTTAACTTAAGTTCTGTCAATTATACAGATAAATGAATTAAGGTTGTCCTCAACAAAGCTAAAAGGCAAGTGGAAAAAGCTGAAAGGTCAAAGGCAAGTGCAAAAAGTATGATTTCATTCAAACTATTAACTGAATGTCTTCCATATGACTCGTCGTTCCTACTATAATTTTCACGCTTTGCTTTGACATTTCAGCTAGCTTTGGCCTTTTAGCTCTGTAGAGGACTGGACCATTTATTCAGATGTATAATTATATTAACATGTACAATTATTAATACAAACAACAAAAATTACTAATATTTATTTATTTATAGTTGTTTGAGCGACTTAACAAGTATGGGTTCTGTCTGAGCATTTCTAAAAAGTATGTGGTCCTTGATGACATTGGCAAACAATTTTTGGACCATGCTGTAGAATTGGTGAAGTCTGGAAGGAAGTTTGTATTTGTTGTCGACAACATAGATTGGGAGGAGAAGGTGCATGATATGCGGAAAGTTCACCAAAATAAGAGCGTGCATGCAGTTGCAACCAGCATGGTGTTTACCAGAGTTTCAAGTGACCACCTACCCGATGATGGCCCTCAGAAAGATATAAGGACTTGCAACTTTTGTGAACTTGTCAGTATGAAGGAAGAAGACTTGAAGGAGATTCAAAAACGGTACAGGATACTGGTAGCTAGAATCCTGATCAAGAAGTTTCCAGAGTTTTCAACCTTAAATCCTACCATCTGAGGAACTTCTCCTTCATCACGACAATTCTGCTACAGCGTCTTCTAAATCAGAAATTATCACCATGCCAGTATTAATGAAGGATGAGAAGAAATACAGCGATTGTGTTGATGTGTTGGATCAGTTGGAAGAATGGACACAAGACATATACAAGGCAAGTGGTATGTGCAAAGATCAGCCAGACCAACCCTCTGTTTCCCCACCCTTGGTAGAAGTTTCAACACGGCCAGATCAACCTAGATCCCATATCCCACCTGCAGCATCAGATTTTGATCCACTTCAAGGAGTAAAGATTCCTTGTTTTGGTGATGAATTAACAAGAGTGAGGTTTGCTGGTGCACTTGATCTCCGTTCTGGTTGTCATACGGCAAAGCAGCGTCTTGACCATCTGTATCCGTATCGTATTGTTGGATGGCATACGAAGAGGAGTATTTTAAAGGTAAGCTTGAATTTTTATCTGTTAGAAATATAGCCAGCATGTTGGAAATGCCGATAAATTATTTTTATTGGGTTTTATTGTGTTTTTAACTGCTGCATAAATATTTTTCTGAGTTGGATCTTTATGTTTTCGAATGGTAGTAGGTTAAAAATATTTACTTAATAACAAATTTTAATTCCGGGATACATTTCATCCAGTTAAATTAAAGTTCAAAAAAATTTGCCAGTCAAATTCCCGTTAAACATAGGTAAAACACTTTTTGGACCAATATCTGTAAAATTTATGGTCTAGAATTTCTTTCTCATACCATTTTTATATTAAAAAATTTCATTTTTTTTTTAAATTTTTGCCCCCCCCCCCTTAAACTGGGGGAAGGGGCAAATTGCCCCCTTTGCCCCCCCCCTCTTGAAAGGCCCTGATCCCATTAACTTTTACATTACGGTATTCCATGCCTTGCAGTATTCCATGTCAATTACCAAACAATTTTATTCTTCAAGGGGATATATTGAAACTAAACCTTACATTTAGAAGTCTTCCATTGATGAGTTAAAATGTCTGGTAGTAGCCAGAGTATGGTAGTTTAATACCAACATAGTATATTAGTGTTTTATTGTTGTGAAGTTGCAGTAATTAGAAATTTGCATTTTTTTATAGTCGGTCTTTAAACGGCAGTACAAAACATCCGGAAGAGAAAATGGTACGTTGCGATATTTCCGAGAACTGCTCAACAGAAGAAACGTGACGGTCGATGTTAAGCACTACGAAGACTGCGAGCAGCTCTTCATGAGTGTGGTCACTGTTACTTGGTTGAAGCTCTGCTAGAGTTTTTTAAGATGGCAGATGTCAACAAGTCTCCAAAAGAAAATAATCCTTTTCTCTTTAATGGAGGAAATGATGAAGAAAAGAAGGCCCAAACACTAGCAGTGTTGGACAAGTTTGTCACACAGTACATCTACCCAACATCAGATGAAGACAACATGGAATCCTCAGATGAGGACAGCACAGATGGTGTCTTCAACTATGCCCTCAACCTACTGAAGTCCTTTATTATCCTTCTGGATTGCAAGGATGCTGTAGCATCTGGAAATGGAGAACATTTAGCACTAATCCAGAAACAGATATTGTTTTACTTCTCATCTATTTCTGGATTTAATTCGTATGCTATCGAAATGCTTATCTCTACAGTACAGAATGAAGTCCTACTCTCGCCCAGAGAGGCGCATCAGTGCAAGTGGGCAGCATTGACTAATTGGAAAGGAGGAAAAGACTAAAACATTGAGATCGATTTGCTGCAAGAAAACCGAAATGCTGATCTCAAAGGGCTTATTCGTTTGATGGGTGCCAATTAGACGGAGAAGGCTATTGGAAGAATGAGCAAGGTAGTTGGTGGAGTTCGTAAGGTCGTTCATGTGTTTGAGGAACAGGCGGTAATTAAACCCAAGTCGTCAGCCCATTGCCATAGGTCCTCTTCACAAGATGGGAATAAAGTGGCACATGATCTGCACAAGTTAAAGCCCTTCTCTCCTGTTATTGGACGATCCCACAATTCGTTTGTGGGGATTCCATCTGACCCGTTAGAGAATTTAAATGAGGAATTGTTTTCTGAATGGCTCAAACGACATCAAAAGAATATTGCATTGCATTTCCCAACAGTTGATGATACACCTGCAGTTGAACCTGTGGAGAATATGTGTCAACAAAGTGACACATTTTAGCAACTTAATGTGCTATTGTACATTGCAAAGTATTAGATGATATTTGACAGAGCACTGCACAGACGTTTAAAAGAGCACTAAATTGCCATTGCACTTAAGCCACAATGTACATACTCCTTTATCCCTGTCAATCTTGTGGCTCTACTCACTGCTAATAGACATTACCGTTTTAGGTTTATTGCATTTTCCCCAATTGGCAATGGCCTTGTTTCCATGTTCGACTGCCTTAAAGTAGCAGGTGCACGTACAGGTTATATCCACATGTTTTGTGCATGAATGTATATGATTTTCTTCAATCTTTAGCCCAATTAATTTACGAACATATTCTTAGCCTGCTGTGCATGAAGTATAACCCACATGAAAACTAGGCCATTCGGGAAAATGCAATAATCAGTAAGGTATATTTTAAGCATTGTGCTGTTGGGTTATTATTCACAGAAGGTGAACTGTATATATTATATACAACAAGGGACTGAAAATCTGTTTGATGTGATTAAAAGAGTAATAAATGGGACAATTCAGTCCATTACATTACTGCAGTATATGTAGAATACGCTGTATTTTTCAAATTGGCATTTTTATTTACAATTTGTGCCAGTGCCGTAGCCAGAACGATAATTAGGGGGCAAATATTCATATATTTGTGTTCACATACCATAAAAACAATTGATTTCAAAAGAAATTAATAAAGCAGAACACAAATATATAAATATTTGCCTCCTCCCTCCCCCCCCCCCCCGCTACGGCACTGATGTGTGCAGTGAAGATTCCACTAACATGAACGACAACAACTTCCTGACTGATACTTTAAATAGTGTAACAAGTCTATCATCAATTCAACTTGACAACAGAATAACATATTTACACCATTTACCACAAAGTACATGATATCCTCTCCCGATTATAAAGCATACAAACATATACATTACTTATAAATTTCTGTTCTGCAGTTCTGTTCCAAAGTTCTGTTATGTGGTGGGTGGCACAAGTGTGTGAAACTAAACGCAACTTGGGCAATCACATTTTAACTGACAAATGCCACAGCAAAGGTGTTTAGGATAAATTGGCTTGATATATTTTTGGTCAGTATCTAGTGAAGTGAGCAATATATTTCACTTAACCGTACGTGAAGTGAGCAATATAAGACACTTAACCGTACTCTGGCAAAAAGTCCTAACTGCTTCTTGCATCCCTGTTTTGTTTTTTGCAATGTCACGATTGTTGTAGTGCAGAATTGCAGTTACAGGCCTGCCAGTTTCTTGGAAGTATGTCTGGATGGTATATGGTGGGGTGATATGAACAACACTCCGTATGCCTTTAATATCAACCCCCATTCCCAGAGCAACTGTGGCAAATACAACCCTTATAGTACTTTCTGACGAGCACAGCTGCTTCAGAACTTCATCTTTCATTTCCTGCATTTGAGGTGAATGGAACTGAGCAAACAACCTGTTCTCAGGTATTGGCATTGATCCTGATGGAAAATACTGACTGCTCTCCAAAACAGACTCAAATATCTTATAGGCAAATCCACACCACTTCAATGGAATGTAGATAATTGTCAAAGGATAATATGTCTGTTCCTTCAACAAATCTTTAGCAATGGGAGTAATAATTCTGACTAGAGAATCCACATCTGGTTCACCTCGAAAATGTTTCTCGTACATAATATTTGTTCGATTGCCAACAACTTCTGCACATGCCTTCAAACCCAATGACTTTTTGATAGAGTCTCTATCATTTTTATTTGCTGTGGCAGTCATGGCTACAACTGGAACACTTGCACACAAAACAGCCAAGTTGCCATAGTCTACTCTGAAATCTTTACCCCTGAAATGAAACAAAATGTGTATTTTTGTTAAACTTTGTTAATTAATGCACATGTAGCAAAACACAATATGTTCTACCCCTGCTGGTTGGTTTGGCACTGGACAGACTTATTAGAAACAACCAATGGGCTATTCCATTTAATATGTGTACCCCCCTCCCCCTATAGAGGAGACTGGGAATCCTCTGGGTGTAAAGGCCCATTTCAAATCAGAAAAATTTTCAGCGGAAAGAAAATTGGTAAAATGTGATTGGCCGACACAAATTTCCCGTTGGAAAAAAATTTTGAAGTTGAAAATTTTCAACTTTTAACAATATGTTCGGAAAATTTTCTGTCCGTGGAAATTTTTCTTGAGTGGAAATGGGTCTTAAGCGGTTTCCAGTCTGGAAATCCTCAGGTGTGGGTAGTTTTCAGCCTGGAAATATTCAGGTGTAGGCTGTTTTCACTCAGGCTGGAATTCCTCAGCATAAGCATATTTTCTGACGGGTCAGCACACTGTCAACCTGGAATTCCTCATCGTAAGCATGTTATCTGACTGGAATTCCTCAGAGTAAGGATATTATATTATCAGGCAGGAGTTCCTCAGGGTAGGCTTACTATTAGACTGGAATTTCTCAGCATATGCATATAATTGGACTGGAATTCCTCAGGGCTAGCATATTATTAGTCCTCAGGGTAGGCATATCATTGGACTGGAATTCCTCAGGGGCAAAAGCGCTGGAGACCATGTCCTCGATAGGGGGGGGGGGGTACAGATATTAAATGGAATAGCCCAATAAAATAAAACAACCCAATGAGATGAGTATTGTCCCCAACAATTTTCTAGTAAAATGTAAAAAATCTTGAATACAAATTTGACTATTGATAGACAACTACAAGCCTTACACATTATTATCCTGAGTAAATTAGCCAGGAAATTAATCCATATTTGGAATTTGTTCTTACACAAAATATTATAAACAAAACTAAATATCATTATAAAACTTACCACTCTAAAATACAATGGGCTTCGTCTACAACAATCGCACAGACGTTTTCCTGGTAAGCTTTACTCTGCATCAACTTCCTTCCATAGGCACATGAAACAAACGCATCAGGATGTGCGAACACAATGTTATAGTGTCCGATTTCAAGCTTGGCTTTGTCGCTGAGATGAAAGTCACAGACAAATAATTCTGATTCATTCTGATTTGTCTCAACTTCTATTGACAATCTTATGTCTGGAGCAGTTGCCCGAATTCCACTTGAGTCCAACTGCGAGATCTGGTTTGTAATCAGAGCGTTTAGAGGTGATACGACTATAATAATTGATATGTTTTCTTTGCTTTTCGGAACACCATGCTTCTTCGCATACAACAATGCAGGGAGCAGGTAAAAAGTCAACAATTTACCGTATCCAGTAGGTAGAACAGCAAGAATATCCAAATTCACAAATACTTTTTCTAGACAAATCACCTGTTTAGGTTTTAAAATAATCTCGCAGTATACGCTATTTAAGAGCGTGTGTCTCTAAAAATCGCCCACTGACTTGGGGCTCGAAAAATAAATTTCTTCGAAACTTTTACCGTGAACTACATTTACTTTAACAACAAACAAATGCTTTTTGGAATTTTGAAAATATATTTAGTTTCAACGTTTTAGCGATTTTTTGGTCTTGCACCGTCGCGGGAGAAATTCGCCGGCTAATTAAATGAAAAAATGGGCTGAATTTAAATAAACATAATTTCAAAAGTTTTTGTTCAAAATTTCTGATATTCACACCCAGTACCGGAAAACTATCGTAATTTCATCTAAACTAACTTAGGTTTTCAATTAAAGAGCATTTGTGGCAATATTTAGCGACAAAGAGCGCCATGTCAAAATACGGCAATCAAATCCTACTATTTTCTACGTTGAATTTCTTAAAAGTGGGACCTAATTACATACAGTGACTAGTATAGTTGGAAAAAGGACACTTTGAAGTACTAAAAACTGTAATAAAACTTGTCTGCAAATGCTATTTGAACAATTGAGAGCGTTTAAAATTTGATACTATTTATGGCCTTTTGTTTACATTTGAATGTTGCTGAGGTCAGATGTCTGAGTTCATGTCACTGCTAAAAATGTGCGGTAGTTCTGCCAAATAACCTTTCCTTCAAATAAGTTTATCGCACTTTTGTACTAATCTATATTTCTTTGTTTCTATCCACCGTAAGTCGTTCCAAGGGATTTAAAATAATAGGCATGTTAAAATAAACAACTTGACCAAATCATAGTTAATATAACCAAATTAATATGCTACTCGGGGAAAAGCCTGCATGCAGTGCGAATTCTATATGTGGCACATGCTATATTTAGAGTTTGCATTGCAGCATACTAAACTATTGCTCAGTTCGAAAAGTCTATAAATGTGCGAAGTTTAGTTCTGGAACCTTTCTGCGAAGTTGATCTTTGAATTATATTGCTGCAAAATTTGAGAGTAATGCTATCGGTTCAACTGTATGCGGAGGGTGTCGGGGTGAATTGGTTATTAGACGCTTAGAAGATTTTGATGAGAACATTCAAAATCATCTTTCAAGTTGCCGTTTGTCGAGATCTGGTTTTAGCATGAAATATCAAGAGAAGAAATACACTCTATGACAGTATGCCCAAACCACCGGTACAACTTGGGCCGATACTGCTTCTTACACTGCGCTTGCACGTCGCTGCAAAGGAAAAGATGGCATTAACCTGGAAGTATCACGGGATGTATTCAAAATTTATGGAGTACTTGCGCAAGTTGGTTCTCATAAGTGATAAATATAGCATAGGCCAGTGCGGCATTCGCATGGTAACATTGGAAATTAGAGGTATACTGTAGTATCACAGCGACATGCTGATGATTAGCTTTTTACTTGGGCTAGCAAAGGTAGACCGAGTTATAAAATGGGTATGCATTTCCCTGTCATGTCGCAAGTTTGCAAAAAACACGCGTGGGTGTCACTCATGCCACGTACACTGAAAGATGATCACACTGTGAATGTAGTTGTGGTATTTGGCAACTAAAAACGCAACTTCCTATAAGTTGTTCCTTTTCGTGTTGAAAGGTGGGCCTTATTTGGCTATCGTACTTGAATTTTAAATCTCAAAAAAACCGCAAATTTGACTAGTTTTTGCAAGTAGTGCTTTGTAAAGCCGAACGCATGTGATGTTGTAGAGGGCCGACTGCAACGTTTGCTGTAAAACTCGGGCAAAATAGCGGATCAAAACAATCTGATCTTATCCGACTACTATCAACTAAGAAAAATCGCTGAAAATGACAGGAAAACGTCAGGTATTTGTTAAATAATAATGTCCTTGTGTGCGTCCAACTTAACATGCACCTACTCTAAAAATGCATTGCGGAAAATTGTCTCATTTAACCTCGCCTTTACTCAGTGCTACGTTTAAAAAAAAAACACCTAAATTAAAATGCGCTAAGTGCCAATTTCAGTGTATGATAGGATGCTAAAAGTATACTTGTGTTTCAATGTTTGCATGACATTGACTGGTTGTACAGTACATAATAATTGAAATAGACCTTTCCAATAATTATGTCACAACTGCATGGAAGTGAGGCTGAGGGGCCAAAGCAAACGCGTAATGGGATATGCTTTGGCCCCTCAGCCTCACTTCCATGCAGTTGTGACGTAATTACCGGAAAGGTAATAGTTTAATACAAAACAAAAGCTTTTGTTGGTTTTTCCCAGGCAACATTTTTTGCAAGTGTTTACCGTGATTCAATTTTATATGTTTAATATCATCTATTTAAATATCTTGTAAGATAAACAACGAAATCTAATTTAGTACTATGACATTATCGATTTGTTTTGAGAGAAGGGCAATGAGAAAATGTTATTTGGTAGCCTGCGAACAGGCTCTCCTTGACTCAGACGTCTGACCTCAGCAACATTCAAATGTAAACAAAAGGCCATAAATAGTATCAAATTTCAAACGCTCTCAATTGTTCAAATCGCGTTTGCAGACGAGTTTTATTACGGTTTTTAGTACTTCAAAGTGTCCTTTTTGCAACTATACTAGTCACTATATGTAATTAGGTCCCACTTTTAAGAAATTCAACGTAGAAAATAGTAGGATTTGAAAGCCGTATTTTGACATGGCGCTCTTTGTCATTAAATATTGCCACAAATGCTCTGTAATTGAAAACCTAAGTTAGTTTAGATGAAATTACGATAGTTTTCCAGTGCTGGGTGTGAATATCAGAAACTTTGAGCAAAAAGTTTTGAAATTATGTGTATTTAAATTCAGCCCACTTTTTCGTTTAATTAGCCGGCGAATTTCTCCCCCGACGGTGCGAGACCAAAAAATCACTAAAACTTTGAAACTAAATATATTTTCAAAATTCCAAACAGCATTTGTTTGTTGTTAAAGTAAATGTAGTTCATGGTAAAAGTTTCAAAGAAATTTATTTTGAGCCCCAAGTCAGTGGGCGGTTTTTAGAGACACACGCTCTTAATATTGCAAAATCCAAGCACAAAAGAAATTGCTGACACTTCAAATTTTTAAACATGGCGGCATACTGAATAGCCTGCGAACGGGTTAAATTTTTCACTACCCCAACCCCACCCCCACACGGGGCATGAATTTTCATGCTATCACATGACCAGCTGATACCAGGGTCTTTCCCAAAAAGACCCTGGGGACGAGATTGCGTTCCTCGCCAAGAGGAAAGACCTCAGGTATGAGGGTTGTACAATGAGTACTTCAGGGGTAGTTTTTATTTCACTACTTTTTAAATACAGTACATTTAGAGGTGGCATGGTGGTTTGCAATATTGTTAATTGTATTAATATTACAGACTATTGACTATACTGATCGGGAAGATAGTTACTGCAGCTGTAACAAAAAAATTACAACAAATGTTCTACAATAATATTATTTCATGGTGGTTGTTAGTAAAGTAGTGCAATTAATTTGAAATAGGAATAGCAACTCAATTGTTTACGTTTTTTGTTTTATTATAGTTATGCAAATCCTAACACACAACTACATGGATAGACTCCTTTTTCTTCGGATGTGCTTCGAGAAGGTGAAGGAGTGCTCAAACAAAGGTAACTATCATTCAATATTACATATTACTTCTATTTCTTTCATGTTACCATGCTGAGGTGAATGCTTTAGTACAGGTTTCACTTACAGCCCAAACACACAGGTTTAAATTTTTTGCTGTCTTACTTGCTAGTTTTGAGATACATGATTTTGTACTGTGGTAAAAATTCCTGGCCATTCAACTTTCCACATAATTTACAGTAGCAATCATTTTAATAATCCCAGTATTCATCCATAACCTGGGATTCTGCCTAGCTCCATTTGACTAGAAAAATGTACATTATTACTCCAAAGTGCCTTATCACCATCACTGTATATACCAGAAAATTATGTGGTATACTCTGCAACCTGTGTAATGTTAGCCAGGAAGTTCCTTTCTGTTGGACCTTTAATTATAGATGAAATCATATATACTATTATGTACGGTGTATATCAATTTTGTTATAATTTATTATAGAGGTCAATGACTCAAGCATGCAATGCATAATTGTCTGGTGATTGTACAGTATTGCAAGTATTTGTATACCGTACAGTATTTCGTATACTTATAGGGCGGCAGGAGGCATAAAAATTTGCCTCATGCGAATATTGACGTGCTGTGCATGCCTCAAATACATGTACTGCAGAGTAAACAAGCTTTATAATAGTATGCGCACACATACTAATTAGAGTGTCACCTGAAAGGGAAGCAACTTTTATGTGATTTTTATTGACCACCAGTTCTTTATTTTGTCCTTCCTTTATCCTGATGAAATCCTTTTTCATTGCACTTGGTCCAAGGTCTCTCAGCGTTTGATTAAGATTTTCCACGTGATCCAAGAAACTGCTTGGTATTTCGCATTTCACAGTGTAGGGCGCATAGGTTAACGGAAGTTAGGTCTTCTTCCACAAGAAGGATCAGATCATCACGGATACCTTTCCAGCTATGAGGGAATCAAGATGAACTGAGAATTGCTTTTTACTATAGCATATAGATATGTTAATTTTTAGACTGACTGCACTGTAAAGTCTTCCTGATATTAATGTTTTCTATACGTACTTTCCAATATTCCCTTTAGTTTAAGCAAAACAAGCAACACAAGTATCACCTGCTGGCACTCCAGGACAGGCACAGCCCTGCAACATATTTTTATAACAGTCACATAACTTGATATAAAAAAGCCAAATCAATCTATTACATGTTATTTGCAGTTTTCATATTTGCAGTGTACATTAATGTATTTGTAAATAGTATAGGGGACAGTTGATGCATTTTAATAGACCTTATGCATAATGACGTCACAAGGCTTGATGTCCGCGAGGAATGCTGGTTTTAGCAGTCATCGCACAGGAATATTAAACAATTCAAAATGGCTACTATCTAAATTTTCCCAGCGACCACTACTAAGACCAGCATTCCTCGCAGGCATCAAACCTTGTGATGTCATTATGCATAAGATCCATTGGCATACCCTGATTGCTGTGCAAAATATGCAGAACTCCATGCTACAGCACCCTCTACCTCCAAGGATGATTTCATTCATTGGTAACTCTTCCCTTTCTGACAGTTATGAGGATCAGTGCCTTATAGTCAAGTGTAACTAATTGTGAATGAGACAAATATTAGACATGAGATAATTTTTATGGGACAATATATGTGGATACGCGAGACAATATTTATGGAGACTGTTAACTGGACCCCCTATGTTTTATCAGTAACTGGCAAGTTATATGCATGACAGTTGAAAACGTGTGGATTTGGGACACCAGGCAAGCTTTGAAAAATATTCCCGGCCACGGTGGGAATCGAACCTACAACCTTTGGAATACTAGCCCAATGCTCTGCCAACTGAGCTATGCGGTCAGGATGGTTAGAATAAGTGATATTTTGGAACAGAATCTAGTTCCTTCGATACCAATGTAATCTAGTAATATGAATCTGTGTTGGTGTTGTGTACTCAGGTAAATATGATGCTTGTGATGTTATTCCGAGTGTATACCCACACCGGGCGAGCTTGAAAAATATGCACAGCCACATTCATATTACTAGATTACATTGGTATCGAAGGAACTAGATTCTGTTCTGAAATATCACTTATTCGAACCATCCTGACCGCATAGCTCAGTTGGCAGAGCATTGGGCTAATATTCCAAAGATCATAGGTTCGATTCCCACTGTGGCCGGGCATATTTTTCAAGCTGGCCCGGTGTGGATATACACTCAGAGTAACATCACAAGCATCATATTCACCTGAGTACACAACACCAACACAGAAAAAAAATTGAAAACTAGTTTACAAAATGGCAACTATAGCCGTTTTGTGTAAATCACCAATAAAAAAATAAACAAAATTAAAATAAATTCAGTCCCAAAAAACACAAAACACTTGTGTAAAAATATTTTCGTCTTGGACTTGGTGAATATTCCCCAATAATCACCTTGACTTAAATATTATCTGTGAAGTTAATAATTATATAGTTCCTGCCATCGACATGCATTCCGTTTGACTTAAGATCATCTTTTTCAATAGTAATGTCTTGAATCATGCCTTTAATATTGTCTCTTAATTAAAGATACATGAATTATGTGTTAGTTGAAAGATGTAATGGTATTCATGTTGAAATAATCTATGTCATTACTGTAACTCCTGGTTGCCAAATACAAGAGTCACAGGGGGTTGAATGGTTGAAATGGGTACAAATGAATATTCAAACTCAACAAATAGCAAATCGATGTACAATGTTTAACAAATTTAATATTCAACAAAATGGCCTTTTGTACAAGTCACACAACGCATTGTAGCCAAGTAGAAATTCGATATGGGTAGCAAATTGTAGAATACACACAATGTGGGACTTGTAGGTTAGGTGCAGTCTGTACTGGGATTGCCAGTAAATGAGGCGAAAAACAGGTTTCAACTCACTTTAATTATCAAAATATGGAAAATTACAAAATAATAGATTTAGGTAAAACACTGTTTTCCTTCGCACGCCATATTAGCTCCTATGCGCATGCTCTAACAAAACGTAAATAAACATCGTTCAAAAGGCGATCGCAGAGATTATTGTCTACAACTTTACTACAACCCAATACACTGGAAGGACTGGGGTCGATGCGATCGCGTCTTAAAATCTGAATGTAAATTTCTCTAATGCATTGTTCACTCAATACTATATAATGTCACTGTCCATTCATACACTCTCTTTTGCTTCCGACTTGGTTTCCTGGTCTTGATCCATATCCACTGGTACTAATAACGATAATCGCTGAGCACTTCGTGACACAATGACAGCCTCGTTATGTCCTTTGTATTTTTGTACCTTTTCTCCAATTTGAAAATTCTTGTACATGACATTTACTCGACGAACTTTTCCGTCTTAACTGGGAAACACTTCTTGTACTATACCTAAACGGTAATCTCCTCGCAAGGTATTACGGTCAGCGATTATTACAACATCTCCTGGGCGCAGGTTACGGTTGGCTGTATTCCACTTGCGACGAATAACCAAGGTTGGGGCGTATAACTCCGTCCATTTCTTCCAGAACTCGTCTGTCACGATCTGGACAACATGATAACGCTTTCATGGATTATTACCGTTAGGCTGCCATCCACCAGGATTCTTCGCCGTTGCTCTGCCCAGTAACAAACTGTTGGGAGTAAGGATGTTTAATTCGGAATCAGCGCTCGGGAGGGTTCCGATAGGTCTTTCATTGAGGAGGTTCGTGGCTTCGCTACACACCGTCATGAACTCTTGGACTGAAAGACGTTGGTTATTGATTGCGAAATGAATAGCTCTCTTGGCACTCTTCACCAGGGATTCTACAGCTCCTTGGTACCAAGGACTATCAGCGGGGCCGAAGATCCAGGTCAATCCATTCTCTGTGCCACTTTTATGTAGGGATTGTCGGTCAATGTTCTTCCAGGTTTCCGTGAGTTCTCTTTCCGCACCAATTAGTTGTGATCCGGGATCACTATATATGATTTCGGGCCAACCACGAACGCTGACGAATCTGCTGAGGGCCATTAGGAATGAATCGGTATCGTACCCGAACACAGCTTCAATGTGGACTGCTCTCATAAC